GTCTCAACAACATCGACGGGACAACCTGCGCAAGAAACAAGAAACATCGTTAGTTGTATGACACGGCTGACCGATTCCTGCATCACCGAGTCTCCACCACATTACTCACCGGAAGAACGACTCGACAACAGCACGCCTCGCCGCGAGTCACTTCAACCAAATCCAACGTACGCAGCCATCGCTCAAAGCGAGCCATCCGGGAAGGATACGTGGTTCTTGGACAGCTGTTGTGGTCAGCATATGTGCTCTTCAGGACGATTTGTTCAACGTGAACACCAATTTCAACGAGAAGTCATGATCACAGTCGCCAACAATCAGAACCTGCGCACACGACGACAAGGCGTAGTGCAACTTCAGTCACGAGAAACAAACGTCATACTGCAGATGTCAAAGGTTTTGATAGCAGAAGGACTCGGTTACAACCTGCTGAGCGTCAGTCAGCTGATGGCGAAGGGCATACATCTCGAGGCAGACAGTACCACTCAGGAATTTAAGTTATACCACGGCAAGGGTGGACTCTACATCGGCAAAGCAGTATTGAAGAATAACGTCTTCGTCCTCGACTTCGTCCCAGATCTCGGCACTGCCGACAGCGACGGGATTGTCACCTTTACTTCTTGGACACATCCACCGGATCTTGATCCTGACTTGAGTCCAGAAGGCTTCTGGTACTCCCACACCATCCTTGAAGCAGAACGAACACGAGCATTAGCAACGATTCAACACTCGGTTGCAGCAGAAACAACATTGGCAGCAGCAGAAACAACATCGGCAGCAGCAGAAACAACATCGACAGCAGCAGAAACAACAACGGCAGCAGCAGCAACAACACTTACAACACCAGTTGCAATTTCTTCAACAACATCGCCGCACATTGACAATACCTCACCGACTCCCGCGCAGCAACAAACTCCCACTCCTCGCGAAATTCACAGAAGCGCCAACTTCACCGCCGCCTTTTACTCCAACTCCGACCTGTATCGGCGTACACCCGGACATCGCGCCAGCGAAGACATCTGGCACGCACGAATGGGACACCAAAGCAACACGGTGTTAAACAATACAATCCGAGCAGGCGTACTCGACAAGGACTCACTACTCCTAACGGACGGAAGTGAACTTCGACGAGCGCGAGGAACGTGTTTTACCTGCCCCGAATCAGACTTACCACATCGGCCATTTACTTCTCACCACAACCCCAGCGCACCAGCTTACGCACCACTTGAGAAGGTGTACAGCGACATCCTGTACAATCGCGAACCCGGACAAGGAGCATACAATTATACCATCACGTTCATCGATGCAGCTACACGTTACGTATGGCACCTCAATCTTCCGAGCAGGGACATGGCCTTCGAAGCTTTCATCGCTTGGCTCCTAGTAGCAGAACGAGAATCGGGCGAGAAACTGAAGAGCTTTCAGTCAGACGGAGGAGGAGAATACACCTCACAGAGGTTCAAGCAGTTCTTGGCAGAAAAGGGAATCAAGAGGCTCATCTCGCTTCCTTACGCCCATCAACAGCAAGGCGTGGCGGAACGGATGAATCGAACTCTCCAGAACACCATGCACAAGTTACTGCGTGGCATGCGACTGCCCAATCACCAGTGGCCTGAAGCGATGGACCACGCTGTCATGCTGCACAACTTGCTTTCGTCGTCGTCACTACCGAACAACGCATCACCGCACCTGCAGTGGACAGGAAAACAGGGCAGCACAAAAATGTTAAGAGTTTTCGGCTGCATGGTACAGTACCGACCCCCATCTGCACGAGCCGACCGATTTTCCCAACGAGCACAGTGGGGACTACACCTGGGCATCGAGAAAAAATACAACGCGTGGAAGATTTTCGACGTCCACTCCAAAGAAACAGTAGCAGCACGTGACGTCATTTTCTACGAACGACTCACCCTTCCGACATACCTTGCCAACTTGGAAGAAAATCGGGATCCCACAGGTGGCTCCCATGGTGACCAACACTTCGCCTCGGCAGCAGACGAAGCTGACTGGGACGAGCAGAACGTGGATAACGCCTCGGAAGAAGCAGGACCACTCCCTTACTGCTCCGTGCCCATCCCGATGGATGACGAAAATCCTCGCGAAAGCATCAACGCCGAAACCTATTTCGACCTCGCCGACACGGGTTACGTTACACCTGCAGAAGTCAACACCAACGAAGCAGAACGCGTAGGGCCTAACTTCATACCTGACCCAGAAGCCGGTGACGAAGCAGCTTATCCCGCGGACACAACACTCCCCCGCTACACACAGAGTGGACTTCAGATACTTGGTCTCGTCACCGCGGTCCACGGCACGGATCCTCCTAAAGAGCCTGCCACAGTTCAGCAGGCTCTGGGGGGGGAGCATAGGGAAAAATGGCGTGAAGCCATGGACAAGGAATTGAAAGCACTACAGGAGCGCAACACCTGGAAGGTTGTTCCTATTGGCGTGGCACGAAACAAGACGATACTCACCGGGAAGTGGGTCTTCCGTGTGAAGACGAAAGCAGATGGCACCATCGACAAGTTCAAAGCACGCTGGGTCGTACGTGGCTTCGACCAAGAGCACGGACGCGATTTCACTGAGACATTCGCACCGGTTAGTCGACATACTTCACTACGGATTCTTCTCGTGGTCGCCGCTATGAAAAAGAAGAAACTGCGGCAAATCGACGTCGCCAATGCTTTTCTCTACGCACCCGTCGACGCAGAAATCTACGTCGAACTCCCACATGGTTCTCACAGAGAGCCCAATCAAGTCTGTCAACTGCAAAAATCTCTGTACGGGATTAAACAGGCCCCGAGACTGTGGCAGCAGTACTTGCACGCTCAGCTCACTCGCATCGGATTCAAGCAGCTGCCGCACGACCAAGGCATGTATCGATTTACGAAAGACGACGACTACATTCTACTAATCGTCTACGTAGACGATCTGCTTTACATCGGGTCGACCGACAACGTTACTACCTGGTTCGAAGGGGGGCTACAAAAAGATCTCACCCTCACGGTTTCATCTACCGTCACGCAATACCTCGGCCTCAACATCCAAGAAGGAGAAGACGCGATCTATCTCAACACCGCAAAGTATGCCGACACCATCGCCAAATGGTTCGCACCCACGCCAACTACCATCTCTACGCCATACCGCTACACGGCAGGAAATGACAAAGCAGAATCTGCTCCACTGAAACCCGCCGACATACGCAACTACCAGAGAAAGCTAGGATGCCTTCTCTTCGCGGCCGTCACCTGCCGTCCAGACCTATCATACTCAGCAAGCCAACTCGCCACCTACCTCAAAAGGCCTGAAGATCAACACATGAAGGAACTCGATCGCGCCCTACACTACCTCGTAAGCACTCCGACGATCGGCCTGATCTACTACAAAAACGTAACTACAACGCCCAAGCTAATCGGCTACGTCGACGCTGACCACGCCGGAGATTCTGACAACAGGCGCTCGCGCACAGGCTACATCTACCGACTCGAGCCTATCGGACCTATTTCGTGGCAGTCGAGCAAACAAGAATTAATCGCCCTCTCCTCAGCTGAAGCTGAATATATCACACTCTGCTCAGCCACCAAGGAAGGACTTTACCTTCGCGAACTTCTGGAGGAAGCGAAGCTGGCCCAGTTACCCAGCTTCTCCTTATTTTGCGACAACCAGTCGGCAATTCGCATCGCCAACAAAAACGGATTCGCGAACAGGACGAAACATATCGCCCTGCGATATTTCTTCGTAAAGGACGAGATCGAGAAGGGAAGACTTGAGCTGTCTTACTGCCCCACATCCGAGATGGCAGCAGATTACTTGACCAAGAAGCTCGGAAAGTCGAAGTTCGAATATTGCATGCTGCTGACTGGACAGAGCCACGTCACCTGCAGCGACACTCCAGAGGCGAAGGGGAGTGTTGGAAACAACTGATTTAAGCGCCTCTGTCGTGTCGAAACACCAAGACAGAAGCGAAGCAGATCGTATCGAAACATCGGTGAGTCAACCCTCGGAGGTTGAATAACTGTTGGAGGTTACGCGAAAGTCAAAGGTCAGCGACCTTTGACCTGACAAATGCAGCGCGACAGCAAGGACAAACAACTGTCTCGATACTGAGCAGTTGCCCGAGTCGACACTGTATCGAACCGCAACAGCAACAGTAAAACAGTTATCAACTGTATCTCTTCATATTCCTTTGTATTCTTATAAAAGCTTGTATCTCTTTTGTTTAATCAACTTACTTTGCCCTCACATACAAGCGCAAGGTGGTTCATAATCCTTTATTAAACGCTTCCGCTATTACATCATCCTACCCTTGAGTTCTGCCCTGCAAAGATCCTAAAGGGCTTTCTCAGCCCAACAAGAACAAGATGAGTTAATAATAGCAGAGAAGTACAAGACTTTTATACGATTACAAAGGAGTATGAAAGTTCTATCTTAACTGTTTTGCTGTTGCGGTTCGATACAGTGCCGACTCGGGTAACTGCTCTGTAACGAGTCAGTTATGTGTCCTTGCTGTCGCACTGTACGTTTCGTCAGGTCAAAGGTCGGAGACCTTTGACCTTAGCACAACCTCCGAAGGTTGACTCGAGTGCTTCTTCGCTGTAGTCAGTTCCGTTTTGTGTCGAAGCTTCGATACGACAGAAGCGTTATAAATCACTTGTTTCCAACAGCATGCATACAAAGGGCATGAATGTGCATAGGCTGCAACAACAGTGTCTGAATGCTGGTACCGACACAGGAAATGATCGGAGCTGCCTGGTGGGATACTTAATCCAATCCTCACTACGGTATTACTCATTTTGTATCCCTAGCATTATATGCAAATCCTGTGTCCGCACGCGGTAACGATTGTTTGGAACGATTTCTGTGGGCCCATAATTTCATCTCTGCTGCTCCTTCAGCAAGTCCAGTCCAAACTGCAGCTCTCAAACCAGCAGCAACAGCAGCCTCCACTACTGCTGCCAAGCCGTACCCTTCACTGCGTGCCCTCCCTTCCTGCCTGCCTGTGGTCACACCTTGTCCGCCAGGTTTCCACTGGAGGCACTCCGCTCAGTCGGCCCAAGGGAAGCGCCCGTTGTAACAGCAGAGGGGGCACCAGCAGCAGCGGCGCCGGTAACAGCAGAGCCCCCAGCACCCGCAGCTCCCGCAGCTGCCGCCTCTGCTGCCTTGGCCAGTCTCTCCTCCAGCGCCCTTGCTCCCCTCTCCCTGTGGGTGACAGGAGAGGGGGGAGCAGCGGACGGGGATTGAAGCGGGAGTCAGGGGTTAGGCAGAGCACCCAAAAAACACCCACAGCTAAATGCCAACAGCTGCTCCGGCCAATGTGCGAAATGGCAGGCTAACATGGGCGTATGCATTGCTAGAGGGCTCAGCAGCTGCAAATCCCGAGCTTGTTATTCTCTCAGCCAGCAACTCGTGGCATGACTCAATGTAGAGGGCTCGGCAGACGCAGAAAGGCAGGGAGGCAGCAGGGATAGTGCGCATGGAGGGGCAGAGAACCCACCTGCCCCTTAGCCCACCTGCCCTTGGGGTCACTGCCCCTGATCTCACATGCCCTTGGGCTCACTGCCCCTGATCTCACATGCCCTTGGGCTCCCCTGCACGAGGGGGAGAGAGAGAGCTCACCTGCACGAGGGGGAGAGAGAGAGCTCACCTGCACGAGGGGGAGAGAGAGAGCTCACCTGCACGAGGGGGAGAGAGAGAGCTCACCTGCACGAGGGAGAGAGAGAGCTCACCTGCACGAGGGGGGGAGAGAGAGCTCCCCTGCACGAGGGGGAGAGAGAGAGCTCACCTGCACGAGGGGGAGAGAGAGAGCTCACCTGCGCCGGGAGGCCTCAGCCGGGTCGGAGCCGGGCAGCGGCTTGCCGGCCGCCAGCAGCTCGTCCTCATCCACCACCGCCGCCTGATCCACCCGCCGCCCGCACAGCAGCCGCCCGAGAATGGTTGCTACAGTGCCCACCACCGGTCTGGAGGATTAGGGGACAGTGGAAGGCGAAGAGGGGTTGTGGTGGAAGGGCATTTGTGAAGAGTGAAGGGCATTTGTGAAGAGTGAAGGGCATTTGTGAAGAGTGAAGGTTGGATGGGGGAATCCTCCCAGCACGTAGCAGGTTGGATGGGGGAATCCTCCCAGCACGTAGCAGGTTGGATGACATCTGTATGGTAGCACGTTGGATGACATCTGTATGGTAGCACGTTGGATGACATCTGTATGGTAGCACGTTGGATGACATCTGTATGGTAGCACGTTGGATGACATCTGTATGGTAGCACGTTGGATGACATCTGTATGGTAGCACGTTGGATGACATCTGTATGGTAGCACGTTGGATGACATCTGTATGGTAGCAGGTTGGTAAAGTCTTGCTCAATGCACTCCCAGCCAAGCGTGTTAAGTTCATGCTGACACCCAAAAGAGATGAACAAAACATAAACAGTCTGCTGCATACCAGAAGCAGAACCCAAACAAAATCAAATAGTCTCAACGAAGGAACTAAGGGAACAGAACCCAACAAAATCAGAGAGAAGCAGCGGAGAAAGAAGAACGCAAGGAGCATGTGGAAGCAGAGAGGCTCACCTGAGCGCCTGTGGGAAGAAGAGAGGCTCACCTGTGCGCCTGTGGGAAGAAGAGAGGCTCACCTGAGCGCCTGTGGGAAGAAGAGAGGCTCACCTGAGTGCCTCTGGGAAGAAGAGAGGCTCACCTGAGCGCCTCTGGGAAGAAGAGAGGCTCACCTGAGTGCCTCTGGGAAGAATAGAGGCTCACCTGAGTGCCTCTGGGAAGAAGAGAGGCTCACCTTAGTGCCTCTGGGAAGAAGAGAGGCTCACCTGAGCGCCTCTGGGAAGAAGAGAGGCTCACCTGAGTGCCTCTGGGAAGAAGGTCTCGAAGGCAAAGTCGTCGGTGGGGTCGCCCTTGAGGCCGCTGTCGCCCTTGGGCTGGAAGAAACGCAGATAGGCCCAGCTGGTGTATGTGCCGAATAGGATGAAGGGCAGCAGCTGCCGGTAGTGGCCGATGCAGAAACACAGCACCACCGTCAACAGCACGAAGAGCGACGGCAGCCACTGAGGGCGAAATGAGAAGGGGGGGTTGGGTGAGAGGGAGAGGATTGTAGAAAGGAGGGGAAAGCAGAATACATGAGATGAAGAAAATGAGGAGGGGGGGAATTAGTTGTTGCTGCTAGGGTTTGTAAAAGACAAGACAAAATGTGGTGCGTGCCATTTAAGAACACTTCTGTAATGCCAACTCATCTTGCAAACTAAGTGTTTCGAACACAGCAACCATCCCGTCAACACCACCGCTTGCGCTCGTGCTCTTGCGGTTCGCGGCCACATGGACAGGCAAAACTGATATCCAGCAGAGCGACATATGAAGCATCAGCTGTAATGCACATACACTGTTTCGCCCTCACACCCTTGGCAACAGCCAGCTATTATTCACCACTATGAATGTGAATGTGGGCCAAGCCCGAGTGTAACGCAGCTCAGGCCCTTGCCTCTCTGGCACACGGCACCAGCCACACCTCATCACAACTCCCACACCCCTCACTCGCCACATGTTAACCCTGCGTGCGCCCACCTGCAGTGTGCCGCCCGCGCGTGCAGCATGTGCCCTGGGTTGCGACACACCTTGGCGCGGAACTTGAGGACATAGGCGAGGGTGATGTCCTGCTCGGGCATGAGCTGCTTGACGCCCACGAGCAGCCCCGCCACCACCCCGTGGAACCCCGATATCGGCTCGTACCTGCACACACCAGTGGCGGGCGGTGGAGGTAGAGGGAGAGAGGGCGGGGCGTGTGCGTGGGGAATGGCACGCCACAAGTGAGAATGCGGACGTGTCTCGCCCCCACCAGATGGTGAAAGCCTGGCGAGCACACAATGGAAGGCAGCTCATGTGGTACGGCTCATGTGGTACGGCATTGTGTTGTGTGTTGTCCTCATGCGCGGCACAGCTCTATGCTGCGACACATCACCCGCGCTGCTTTGCTCCCTCCTTCACGACCTCCTGTGACATGCACACGCGGCACCCACCTACCATGGTGCTGCAGAGCCTTGCTTACACTCGGGGTCGGGGGTCAAACACGAATGGCGTGTTACGTTTCCAATTACATGGGCTGAGCTGAGCTCGTGCCATGTGCAGTGCCTCGGCACTCACGTGATGTCATGAAGTAGGGGCACGAGAGCAGCGCACTGAGCAAGGGAAGGAAACTCATGACACAGGGTGGTGCAGCACTTGAACAGGGTGGTGCAGCATTTGAACAGGATGGAGCCGTCGAGTGTGAAGCAAGTAATAGACAGTGACCATGTCAAACGACAGTGTGCCACGTGGGCAGCAAGCAAGAGAGGTGGTGGGGTTCGACTGACAGGAAGTATCCCTGGAAGGTGAAGTAGTAGGCGGTGACCATGGCGATGAAGGTGCACACGGTGGTGAGCGCGACCCCCACACCGGCTCCAGCAGCCGCCCCAGGAACAGCAGTGCTGCCACGTCCGGCACCAGCTGCAGGGGGGAGGGGTGCGGGTGGAGGGGGCGCGGGTGGAGGGGGTGCGGGTGGAGGGGCGCGGGTGGAGGGGCGCGGGTGGAGGGGCGCGGGTGGAGGGGGTGCGGGTGGAGGGGCGCGGGTGGAGGGGCGCGGGTGGAGGGGGTGCGGGTGGAGGGGCGCGGGTGGAGGGGGTGCGGGTGGAGGGGCGCGGGTGGAGGGGCGCGGGTGGAGGGGGTGCGGGTGGAGGGGCGCGGGTGGAGGGGGTGCGGGTGGAGGGGCGCGGGTGGAGGGGGTGCGGGTGGAGGGGCGCGGGTGGAGGGGCGCGGGTGAAGGGGCGCGGGTGGAGGGGCGCGGGTGGAGGGGCGCGGGTGGAGGGGGTGCGGGTGGAGGGGGTGCGGGTGGAGGGGGTGCGGGTGGAGGGGCGCGGGTGGAGGGGCGCGGGTGAAGGGGCGCGGGTGGAGGGGCGCGGGTGGAGGGGCGCGGGTGGAGGGGGTGCGGGTGGAGGGGGTGCGGGTGGAGGGGCGCGGGTGGAGAGGCGCGGGTGGAGGGGCGCGGGTGGAGGGGCGCGGGTGGAGGGGCGCGGGTGGAGGGGCGTGGGTGGAGGGGCGCGGGTGGAGCAGAGTAACAAGCAGAGTAACAAGCAGAGTAACAAGCAGAGTAACAAGCAGAGTAACAAGCAGAGTAACAAGCAGAGTAACAAGCAGAGTAACAAGCAGAGTAACAAGCAGAGTAACAAGCAGTGCGCAGAGCCAACAGGTGCCGCCCACGTGGGAACAAGCTGGCTCTAAACGTTCAGCAGTTTCCATCAAGACTCTACAGATCGATCACTGCATTCGCCCTTAACGCGTTCGACTGAGCGCAGTGTTGGCATCACATTGACAGCACCTTGAGTTTCTCACCGTGAAGAGATGGCGCTCACTAGAACGCCCCACTACCCAAAACGCGGATGTTATAGAGGCGCGGCGGATGCCCTTCAACCCTTGCTGCGAGCTGGCAGGCGTCACACTCACAGTGAAGAGGTGGCGCTCAAAGAGGCCCGCTGTGACGAGATTCCAGGCGAAGGGGATGGTCCTGCGCGCACGGATGGGAGGGATGGGGGCGATGAAGGCCGAATGAGAGAGAGTGACGGAGGTGGTGATGGGTGGGGGAGGGGGGAAGCCTGCTAAGAGCTTGCACGCATGGCATGAGGCTGAAGGGAGGACGCAGGGAGAGGGCCAGCATGTGTGAACACAGGAGGGGGATAACACAAGGCCAACTTGTGCGGGCGGCACTTGCCTGCCGGGCAGCAGCGCGAAGGCGGTGTGCGCGGAGGGCAGCAGCGAGATGACGTAGCCCATCAGCAGCACCACCGCCAGCCCCTTGGACAGCCGCGTGAACCCGCTCAGCGCCGCGCGGCCCTGGGGGAGGAGGAGGGGGAGGGGAAGGGGGAGGGGAAGGGGAGGGGAAGGGGAGGGGAAGTGGGGGGAGAGAGATGTGGCGCGGAGCGTGGAGGGCAAGAAGAGGGGTGAACGTCGGCCACTCTCGGGGCCATCACACGCTCAATGAGATGTGAGGGATGGAATGAAATGGGAGACACGGAACGAGAGGTGCGGTCTCTTCGACACTCCAGTAGCACATTCGCCAAAGTGAGTGCGAATATAACGAGGGACGATGCACTGGAGCCAGCGGCATGGCGCTGAACAGAGGGATGAGCAGTGGAACGGAGGGGTCGAGCAGGGGAACCATGGCGACAACATCAGAGTTCAGCCTGCACAGCGCTCGTGCCACAGCCAGCAGCGAAAACTGCAGGCTGGGAGAAGGGTGAGATTACGAGCAGCGCTTGGGGGTTGGGTGCCTGCGCGCTCATTGTGACCCGCAGATGACGCGATACCGCGATAACTCGATGCGACGACTAGGGCGCGTTCCACGTGAAAGATGTCACGATAGTGAAGCTCCTACCCGCGGAAATGCAAGTGAAGTCGCAAACAATGCAAGATCTCAGTGCCTGCCAGATGTTCTACGTGCTATTGTAGAGATAAATTTGTTTATTATCTGGAGGGAGTACATGCATGTTTTAGGGTTAGGAATGCTATATTGCAATGTTGCAGATTATGTTTAAGAGGTGAGAAAAAAAAATTCTAAGAACTAAATCAACGTGATTAATGATGTAATATTGTGAGTAAATCAATTTACCTAATTATATGGATGGTATGCCAATATATTTCTCATGAGTAAACATATCTCTATTTACCCTGCTAGACCCCCCAGCTTTTAGTCCTTGATCTTTGTTGCGATCAGAAGATTGGTCGTGCCTAGGATCACCTCAGGAAGGTTTGCAGAGAGTGTGTTGCGGCGGAAATATTGACCTCAGGTCAGAGTGGAATGACTGAGATAATAAAAATATGCGAATGCATTCGTCTATATAAGAGTACAGGGGAATACGAATCGACCTACTCTAGCCATGTACTCTAAGGGGTACATTCCCTTATTGCAGCGAAACCCAACCGTGCGACTCCAGACAGTTACGAACCTGTTCCCGCCAAAATCTTCGGCACTGCAGCTGCCTGATGCTTCTGCTCCGATGGTCCAGATTCTCCCTAACTATGCGCTATTCGTCTCGTCGTTCCGCCTTTTCGCCTTCGTAATCTCCACTGTGTTCCTCGCTGGCTTCTGATAGGAGTGCGTAGTGTTTTCAAGATTCACTATTCGTAATACCCCCCTTCACTCTTGGTCGTAGCATCTTGACCCGCTTGACTACTCTGCTGAGTTTGGAGCAGTGCTAATACTGCTGACAGAGTAGTCGCTTAGTCAGGAAGTCAGCTGCCATGTCACCCGTCGGGCAATAGGTCAGATCAACCTTGCCCTTGTCAACTTTGTCCTTGACGAAGAAGTACCGCAACGCGATGTGCTTCGTGCGAATGACGAATCCCGGTTTGTTCGCGATCCTATAGACGCTCCTGTAGGTCAAGCCCCTCGCGAAATGCTGCTGTCGCGGCGATGAATTCAACTTCTGCCTGTCAGAATAGGAATGTTGGATTGATTAGGGTTGTCAGTACAAGTAGGAAACCCTAAGGGGTTGTACTCATTAGAGTATGCCCCACTACAGCCTAGAGCATACAAACATAGTTTGACACACCCCCATAGGCATGTTATGTGATGCTATCATTTGCATTCACGTCTGTCTGCCTCCCATCATATGTTCGTGTGTTGCATGCATGGTGTGAGCGCGTACAAGAATTTGTGTGTGGTGTTGTTTGGATTTTCTGAGTGTGTGTGAATGTTATTTGGCTTGGGCAGATATCTGAAGTGACTCCTCTGCTCAAGAGCTTCACGACGAAGCGAGAATCGTCGCGATCGGAGCAAGAACGAGAAAGATATGATCGTTCGAAGTTTTGATTGAGATGCGGCGACTATGGGAATTTGCGGGTTGACTCAATATGGGGTGTAGACTTTTGGGGGTTGGGAAATTCGTCACCATCACTGTAGATGATGCCAAGTGGTTGGGAGAAGCCAAACCAGGTTGGCAAGTGTGGCCAAGTTGGGTGAGGTGGATGGCATGAGTTGGGAAAGTGACAAATGTCAAAGTTGGGGTGCCTATAGAGAGGGGAATTGTGTGGTATGGGGTTTCCTTAGTTGGGGACTCCCTTGGGACCTTCCCTCTCGTCCTCCTCATCCCCTCCTACCTGGTTCCATTGCTACTCCAACTTTCTTGTGTGAACTTGTGAGAAAATTGTGATTCAGTTATGTTTTCTATGGCAGCATACCCCCTAGTGCGCCGAAGTTCATAACTCAAGTTATACTCTATATTTTGATATTATTCAAATTCGTAAAAATAGCCACAGTCAAGGGCTACAACATACTCGAGTTTGAGAGAATTCTAACAGTGCGTTAATCGTCGACGACGTTTCTTGTGACGACGACATTTCTGTCCAGAATTGTAGTTGACGATTTTGAGATATTTCAGCCCCTAATCTTCATAGACTCCGTCCTTAGTCTCTAACAAATGGTATCAGAGCTGATTAAGGACTTTGTGAGGAGTCTTCTGAAGTGTGAAGACCCTCCTAGACACACCATGACCTGTGGGCGTGCCTAAGTGGATTTCTAGAGGTTGGATGTGACTTCCGCTAAGGGGAAACTCTGCCGAAATTTCGTTGGCGCCGACACTTGTGAAACTATTGTGAGACTTCGGTGTGGACAGCAAGGGGGGAGCTGGAACTTGTGCTTGGGAGCATAGGAAATGAATCAAGGGAGTGGAGATGCAGCTGAGAAGAGGAATGAGCCGCCACCATCCAAGATCGAGGCATTGGATGGCTCCAACTATGAGAAATGGAACGGGCGGATGCGGAGTGCATTTAAGCGCTACAAGCTGCTGAAACTTCCGATGGGAGAAGAGAAGATGCCAGAGGAAGGCGACGCCCGCGATCGGTGGATTGAGAAAACCGCGGTGCTGTACGACCTAATCCTTCAATCGGTCAACAACGGCATGTTCCAACACATCAAGGATTTGGTGGAGTTGGATGATTCTGGACCAAAGGCGTGGAAGCTACTACGCGACGTGATTCAGCCCAACACGCTGCCGATGGTGATTGTGTTGGAGAAGGAGCTGGCTGCCCTCTCCATGCGACCGGGCAATGATGTGAAGCCGGTCCTTGACAAGATCAAGGATACCTATGCGAGGATGGCAGCGGCGGGCAGCAATGTGTCGCAGATGCAGCAGTGCACCAAGATCATCTCGGTGCTCGACAACTCGTGGGACAACCTCATCCCCACCCTCAACACTCAGCAGGACCAGTGGACACCTGAGTGGCTACGGCAGCAGATTCTGCAGGAGGACTTCCGTAGGCGCCACTCGGGTGGTGGTGCTGCCAACCAAATTGCTGAGGGGTATGGAGCTGCAGGAGGCAACAGAGGAAGAGGGGGAGGGAGAGGCCGAGGTCGTGGGAGAGGCTTTGGCAGAGGGAGAGGCCGAGGTGACTATAACGAGGGGCATGGGAGCTCTGGTGGCAGGGGGAGTACCCGAATGGAGGGAGCGTGCTGGTACTGCAAGAAGGCTGGACACCCGTGGTTCAAGTGTTTCAGCCGGCCTGAGGGATGGGCACCCCCAGGCATGAAGCCGCCAAGTGGTGAACGTGCACGAGGTGGCGTTGTGCAAGGTTCAGGTGCACAAGGTGATGGTGCACACGGTAAAGCCAACCCTGGGATGTTCCTCATGGTCGTGGATGTGAAAGGGAATGAGGGTGATGTGGGCTCAGTTGGGAAGGTTGTGATGCACCCCCTCACTCACTGGGTGATAGATTCAGGTTGCACAAGTCACATGACCACACGGGCAGATTTGCTTGATGAGGTAAAGCCCCTGGGAATGATTAAGTTTGTGGCTGCCGCTTCAGGTGCTTTGCTCCCTGTGATTGGTGTTGGGAATGCCATGGTGTTGAGAATGCCAAGGTGATGGGAGCCAATGGGGGGCTTGTGGGGCTGGGGAATGTGTTGTTGGTTGAAGGCTTGTCCGCTAACCTTCTTTCTGTGCGCCGGCTGCAGAAGAGCAAGGCCAAAGTGACCTTTGACCCAACCAGCTGCCGTGCAAAGCTTGGGAAGCTGCTGCTATGGAACTTGGAGGAGAAGAGCAGCTGTATCAAGGACCTGTTGCACCTGCCCATCATCCCTTGGAACGGGAAACTTCCAGCAACGGCAGCGGCAGCAGCAACGGCAAAGGCAACTGCAGGAGGAGAGGAGATTGCACCAACTGATGGGGCCTTGGATGCAGTCAAGAAGGTGCAGCAGCCACAGCAGCCACATGGTGAGGTGCTTGCTGGTGTGGATGCGACAGCTGCATGGGCAAAGGCTTCATCTGGGAGTGGTGTGGCTGATTGGGAGACGTGGCACGAGAGGCTGTGTCATGTGAATTTTTATATGCTGCAGAAGTTAGTGAAGGATGGGAGCTTGAAGGGGTTGGAGGTGAAGTGGGCAGCAAAGGAGGTTGGGAGCTGCCCTACATGCCTTGAGACCAAGTTCATGAAGTTTCCCTTCAGCAGCGGCACGGGACCAGCCAAGGCCCCGCTCGCACTTGTGCACATGGATGTGGTGGGCCCTACGAGGGCCCCTTCTCTCTCGGGCAGCCGCTACGTCTTAACCATTGTGGACGACCACACGCGTGCCGTGTGGGTGTACCCTCTCAAGACAAAGGGGGAAGTGGCAGCGACTGTTCTTAAGGAGTGGATGCCGAGAGCTCAAAGGGAGAGCGGACACAAGGTGAAGGTGATCCGCACTGACAACGGGGGAGAATTCATTGGCGCTGATTTTGAGGCGGTGCTGAAGAAGAAGGGGATCCAACATCAGCTCACGGTGCCCTACAACCCTCAGCTGAACGTCGTGGCTGAGCGCTTCAACCGGACCCTGCAGGAAGGTGCTTGCACTCTTCTTGGGCGTGCAGGGCTGCCGGATCCGTTTTGGGTGACTGCACTGCGGCAGGTCGCCCTTGTGAAGAACAGGGTGTTGGCGACTGTTGGGGACAAGCAGTGGGTCCCCTACACCAAGTGGTATGGGAGTGCACCAGCAGTCAACATGCTGAGAGCCTACGACTGCATGGTGGTGTTTCATGTTCCTAAGGAGAAGAGGGGAAATTTGGAGGCTTCTTGGACATG